GGGACTGAGTGTGCAACCCCACTGCTGCCCCTCTGCACTGCCCGGTCCAAAACTCATACTGCCTGTCCCAGCCCTGGAAGTACAAACTCAGCAACAGCAGTGCCAGGGCAGCAGCCTCGCCTGCTCCGGCATCCCTCAGTAACCAGGGTGCAAAAAGCATTGAGAGCTCTGTAAAAAGCTGAGATCTGACTTTGGGCTTTCACACAGCTCAGTCTGCCTGGAAACCTCTCCAGAGAAAACACAAGAGCTGGTGACACGCCTGATGTCATTGCTGCTGTCAGCTCTGGCTGGGATCCGCCCGGAGAGGCTGCTGGCACCCGCGAGCAGTGCTCTACCTTTGGGGCAGCAGTTCTGTACCGCTCTGCGGTTTCCTCCCATGGGGCCAACACCATTTTTGACTGGCTTGGGCTTTTGCCCACTTTATTGTGAGGCTGCTGCTGTGCCCTTCTCTCGATCCCACTGCAAACACAGGAATAACTGGGAGAAGCCAGGTATGCTGGAGAGGAGGAGGCGGAGGGCTCAAGCCTAAGCTCCTGCATTTCCTCCTGCTTGGGCTCTGTGTGCTGGGTGTTGCCTCCTGCTTGTGCCACTCCTGAGGCCTTGCCGTGGCTTCCTGGGGTAGCAGAACAAGGATTGCACAGTGCCCATCTCTTGGGTATCTGGCCTCTGTGGCACAGGGCACTGTAGCTTCGTCGAGATGGTGGTTTACAGCTTATTTTTGGTCCTTGCCCTTTGTGTTTCAGCCGCCGTGGAAGAGTCGTCTTCCCAGTGAGTCTGAACTGAGAGGGGCCGCATCCAGCCTCGTCGTGCAGGTGCTGGGGCTCCCCTCAGCTGTCCGGTAAGCCTGTCTGCCCAGTACGGCCTGGCTCAGACCTGTGTCCCCAGGCTTGGGAGCTTCCAGCTTTCCCCTGGAGAGAGGAAGCTGGGAACGATGGTTCGCACAGAACCGGAGCTGGTCTCGCTGAATCGAGGGTCGCTATGAACCTCCAGTGCCTGAGAGCTGCTGCCACTGACGTGCCACGGGGAAAAACGTCCCCAGAACTCGGGTGCTGCCTTCAGGGGGTCACACTGGGGCTCTGCCCCTCCCTGCTTGGAAGTGCCTGTGTAGAAGGAAGTGGAGCACAAGAGATTATTTCCCCCCCTCCCGCGTGGAAACTGTCTCTGGTTACAAAGCCCAGGCTGACAGCTTGGTGTCTGAGAGAGCTGTCAGCCTTTGCACCGCAGTGTCTGGACTTAGGGCCCCAGGCGCTGCACTGGGTGACTAAGTGCAAACCTCTTCTCTAATTAGAGAAGTCTGTCCTCTCCCATCCCCCGCTTAAAACGTTTCACCCATTTGTTGAGCTGTTCATCACGCTTTGAGGGTCCTGGCCTGCATGGCTGGCTGAACCTGGTGGGAGCAGCCTCTCTGCGTGGCACAGCCCCGCTAGCTCTTCTGAAATGCTGCCTGGAGCTTTCCAATTAGAGACTCCCCTGGCCCCAGGAGATTACTGGCAGATCCCCCAGCTGACATTTGTCCTCAGGCTCCCAAATCCTGCTGCTGACCGGCTTGCTGGCTACCAGCTGAGCTAGCGGAAGGCAGCAAAACACAGTGAGCAATTGTCAGTAATTGAAGTTTTCTAACTCGGATCTCTCCAGGAAGATGATGAGTTTCCACCAGGGATCCCTTCTGCAGGCAGGAGGGGGCATATCACTGTGTCACAGACAGGAGATATATTTTTTTTTTTTATCTCCAGAAGTGTAATTTCCTTTCCTTTCCCTTCCCCATCCTGTACAAAGGCACATCTTTCAGAACCTCACTGACATTAAATCGCTGTCATTTACTTTTGGGTTTCTGTCCTCTTTTCAAGGAGGGAAACCTTGCTGGGCTCTTCTAGAAGCCACCTCAGCCCTCTGTCATGTGCTGGGTCATGAATTCCCCCAGGGCTCCTGCTCTTTCCGCTCTCGCCTCGCCCGGGGAAGGGCGCGGGTCCTGTCCAGCCGGGAAAGGCGGGTGCAGCCCTGGCTGCAGACACGGGCTCCCTTTGGCTCCTGCCAGGGTGGCTGGATGGGTTTTCCCCCCCCACTGGTTTTGTTTCTTGTGGAGCTGCCTTGCAGGCGGTTACACCCTGCTATCCCAGGAAGCTGACTGGAATTCAAAGGATCTGCCAGGCCCTTGGCACTCGCCTTGTGCTACAGGTTACAGGGACTGCTCTGGCAGCCCGGTGTCGGCGAGGGGAGGGTGTTCTCTGCTCCCAGACTGACCTGGGCACTGGGTAACTGCGGAGCTGGGTTAAATCGCCTTGCAGCCCCCCCAGGCCGCTGCCTCTCCTCCCTGTGCTGAGCTGGTGGCAGCACCGGCACCTACAGCAACAGATTTCTCCGATGTGTGTTGTGCTCAGCTCTCAGGGCTCCCCTCGCCCCACACCACGTGCAAACACCTTCCCAAGGAGGGGCTGGTGTGCTGCTACAGCCCCACCAGGCAGGACAGAGGTCTCCAACACCCTTTGTCTCATCATTGGTGGCACCAAAATGCCACCGCACAGGGGGACGAGCAGTCTGGAGAGCTGGGCTGCCAAATCCAGGGGCGAGTGCCCTGGCACCCTGTTACAAAGGCTCTCCAATAAACAACTAACCCTCTGCAACTATTCAGCAGCAGGTTTGAATGCTGGTGAGAGGAGAACAAAACACCACTTCCTAGGGTTTAACGACAACACAAAACACCCTGTCACTTTCTAGGGTTTAACAACAACCCAAAACGCTCTATCACAGAACAAAACACCACTTCCTAGTTAACAACCCAAAACAAAAACACTCTATCACTCACCTAACAAGTGAGGACTCTCAACCTTGAGGAACATCTCAGGGCACCGTCCCAACCCAGTAACCTCAAGGGTTTTCCTTGGGCAGCGTCCCGACCCAAGGGGAGAGTCCTCAGCCGCAGCATGCTGCTCCAGGGGAGGACAGGCTCAAAATGCCCCCACCTCCCCCAGGGACTCCATTTATACCCAGATGAATCCGATCTGTGGTCAGTATTGGCCATCACTGGCCAAAGGCCCCAAGTACTGTGAAGCCTTGAGAAAAGGGCAATCAGCAGCTGCTACCCTTCAGCAGCCAAGAAGCCCTATTTTCACTGGGTGGGTGCACCTACCACACACCCCCCTGCTCCCCGTGGGATGTTTTATGGCTTAATAATGCCTTTCCATGGCAGTGCCGGGGCTGGAGGTGTCACTGGCTCGAATATCTGAACCCTTTGCTCAGGACAGGGGAAACCAGTATGGACCAGTGTGCTTTGTGCTGGGCCAGGGGCTCACTGATGAGGGCTGGAGCCCTTGCAGCCTGTGCGCTCCGAGTTCAGCTGTAAAGCTCAGCGAGATGATTTGAATAATTTAATACCGGGCTGTGACCAAGCCTGGCAAAAGGGTAAAGGAAACAAAGAGGCCCCCAGCCCCGAGCAACAATAGCTCTTGAAACGACAAGCTGAGGCATGTCCGCGCTGCCGGAGGCAGAGAGCAGCCCGGGCAAATAGGCCAGTTGCATTCCTCACGTCTGCTGCTTTGTTTCCCTGCAGAAGCTCCCGGTAAAAACTGCAGGTCTCGGGGCTTCTCCCTTTATCCTTGTTTTGTTCCCGCATCCTGTGGAGCTGGTGGTGGATCAGCCGTGTCCCAGTGGCTCTTCCTGCTGAGGAAGGCAGGGCCAGAAGGGAGCGGGTAGGGGAGGTGATGTGGGGATGAAGCTGCCTGGTCACGTCTGCAGCATCCCCGTCGCTGCGGGTCCCCTCTGGTCATTGTCACCCAGGGAAAGGCCATCCCCGTCCCTGAGCTCAGTAAGATCCTGCTGACCTGGAGCCATCTCTGTCAGCAGGAAACGGCCCAAACCGCCTGCTGATCCTGGAGCTGGTTTGATTTGACTCCAGCACCTCTGTTGTGGTTTTAACCGCGTTCCCACCAGGCTTGGCAGAAGGTGTGGCCGCCGTCTGTCCGTCTGTCCAGCCGCCTCCCTCCCCTTATCCCCTGCCTTCCCTCGGCTTGAGTCCCCAGAAGCAGGGAGAGGACTCTCCCCGCTCCTTTCCCCGGGGCAAAACGCTCCACCTTAACTTCTTTAGAAGCCGGAGCGTCGGTTTTCTGTCCCTCCACTTTTAAGTTAAAATACGAGGCAGAGGGATGGAGCAGGGTGCAGGGCAGGGAGAGGCTGAGGGAAGAAGGCAGGAGGCCTCCCCGAGCCCAGATGGATTCAAGGACTGACCCGTCACGGGGGGACAGGGAACATATTGCCTCCACAAAGGGAACTGCCCTGCCCGGGGGTTGACTGTCGCCTTTGTGCGAGACAAACGCCTGGCTGTGATGTTGAGCGCGGGGAGGGCTTTTGGAAGGGAGAGGGGGAAAGGAGGGGATCTTTGTTTGCAGGGTCTGACACCTCCCAGCCGTCCTGCCAGCACAGCCAGTGCCTTCTGATGGCTTTGTCAGCTCCTGGCTAATTAGCAGAGATGTTTTTCAGTGAGGTTAGGAAAGAAGAAAATTTAAAACATCAAAGAGAAGCAGTGAACGGTGATAAAACTCGGCTTTGTTTCATGCCTGTTGGTGGAGACGCGGGTTTTCTAGGCTCGCAGGGGTGCTGTGTCCGTGGCCCTGCGGGATGCTGACACCCAGGGCCCAGGGTCCGTCCTTTTGGTCTGAACCTGGTCCCGTAGCTGTGTCCAGGGAGAGTTTTTAGACAGGGCTGGGTTGCGGCGTGTTGTGGCTGGGGTAGGGCCTTTCTCTTGTTGGGAAGCGAGCCTGGCTTCAGGGCGTGCTGTGACTTAGTGGCAGAACCGGACAGACCACGGGGCTGTTTGTAGACCCTGCCCTGGAGGGATCACAGCTCTGAGCAAACCCGGCCTGGGAGCATCTCGACCCCAGGCTGCCACCCCTGTGACACCCCGGAGGTTCCCAGTGCTCCCCACTGCTCTCTGTGCGGTTTCCCACTGTC